CCGCCGCGGGCGGGACCTCGGAGGCCGCTCGTCTCGCAGGCCTTTCCGCCCCGCTGGCGGGGCTGGGGATGGCCGGGCGAGGCTGGGGAGGTCTGGACCTACCTCGGGACGTCCGGGTCGGGAGGGCTCCGGGCAACTCCCCCTCTCCCCGTCCTCTCTGGCCTCTGCTTCTCCGAGATTGGAGGGGGCTGGGTTGGGTCAGGAATTCCCAGCCCGAATGGGCTCGGGGAACTGTGCTCGGTTATTTGTCATTTGCTCACCTTCTTCATCTGCATCTTAAAGGACATTTTGAACCACACCTTGTTCCCAAAAAAAGAAGAAACCTAAAGCTTTGGCTTAAAGCTTTCCTGAACACTGAGGTACACTCAAAGGTAGGGCAGCCAGTTTGGGACTAAATCCTGACATAGAACTCAGAGCCCCTGATTCTCAGTCTTTTCTACTTCTTCGTGGAGATTCGATTATTTTTCTTTTCTTTACATGTTAAGCTGGTTCACATTTTTACTCTGATGCTTTCGTATAGTGGAAAGAGCCCTGACGAAATCAAAAAAGTGAGAAAACTTCATAGGTGGGACTTAATTCCACTACTAACCTAAGTTGTGAATTTGCAAAGGTTGATTGACTTCAGCTTTCCCATCTGGAAAGACAGAGCTGATGGTTCTGCTTTGTAGAGATGGAGTAAAATAATGTGTAAAGAGTAATATTTTCAAAGTGGCCGTAAAGAAAGACATACTGCGATGATGTCATTTGTGTGTGGAATCTAAAAAAGCAGAACTAAGAGAAACAGATGGCTGTGGGCAGAGCCTGGGGGAAAAGGGCAGATGTTTGTTGGTCAAAGTGTACAGTTTCAGTTATGCCGGAGAGTAAGTTCTGGAAACCTAACTTACAGCATGGTTGCTAATACTGTATTAAATGCTTGAGTAGATGATAAGTGTTACTATGGGGACACACACACACACACACACACACACACACACACACACGGTAACTATGTAAGGTATGAAAATGTTTATTTGCTTTATTGTGATAATCCTTTCATGATGCATACATTTTTTCGAATTAAGTTGCAAATCTTAAATATATGCAATGTTTATTTGTTGATTTTTTTACATCAATAAAGCTGGAAAAAGAAAACAAAAACAAAGTAGTTGTAGATAATGGTACTGAAAAGCTTTCTTTTTTCTTTCTTTTTTTTTTAAATCTGCTTGAGGATATCTGTGCTCACTAGGGAGAGAAAAAAAGAGAAAAAGAAAATGAGATACCACCCTCTGTAGGGGATGATCATACCACAGTCTCTTCCATTTCTCCTTTTGGTATTTTGGGTACTCATGCACACGTGCCCAGCATGTTTTTCAAGTTGCAGGAGTCTGTATTACCGTGTGGAATTGAGATACCCTAGCCATCATGCCACTGGCTGGCCTGGTATTATTATTTGTTTGACAAACATATATGTAATAGGCTGTTTTAATGATTAATCCTCTCGGTTTAATTGAAGTAGCCATACTGTTTTTATCTGAAGAATCTGAAGCACAAAGAGATTGCCACATAGCTAGTAAGATATTGATGCCCTCTAAGCCCTCATATACATCACTTTGTGAGCAGTAGAGCCTTCAGTATATTTTGGTCATTTTGGGGTCAAGTAATTCTGGTAGTCTAAACAGTGGAGACAAAATAGAAGGAAGGAGAAAGTAGAGGGGGCTGAAGGAAGATAGACTACTTCGATAACAAGTCTCCTATACCTTCCCTGAACCCACCTCTGGAAATACTCTGCCAGTCTGGATGTTATCCTTAGCATTGTTTATTTAGTAGTCATTTGGTTTATTAAAACATTTTATTACATAGTATTAGATATGCCACTGGCTGCACCTTGCCCTCTGAAACATAATTACAGTCAAGCCTAGCTAATGTGATTTGCGTTTTCTAATCTTTTTCTTAGACACAGTCATTGAAATTAGTGAGGAGGAACCTAGTAGCCTTAGTGAAGTAAACCTCGTGTATTATTAAGAATCTCTCATCGCTGTTTATTGAGGGACCACTGGCAGACTGATACTGTAGAAAGTAAAGGGAGGCTTCAACTCGCTTGAGAGCCCATATGAGAAATATGCTCTTTTTTTCTTTTTCCTTTTTTCTATAAGATAGATATGGGGGTATGAGAGTGTGGGAGTGAGAAATCACCCCATGGGGAGATGGCCACACTTCAGTCCCCTCTCCTCCAGTCTCCTCTTCTGGTTTTGGGCATGCGTGCATATGCACCCAGTATGATTTTCAAGCTGCTGGGTCCATGACTAGAACTGCACAGTCGGCATTGTGGGATCTAGTGCCATAACCTCCACGCCACCTGCTGGCACTCAGCACCCTTTTAAAATGCAGCTTTGTGTTTTGGAAAGAAAGTAAATCATTGTAAGATACTTGACCATTATAAGTTGCTAACAATGGTAAAATTTATAGCTATATCCTTTGAAAGAAAACGTGGGTGTTTTCCACTGAATTTAAAAACAACTCCTCCTGGGACCAGCAGTTGGTGTAATGGCTATGTTGCTGGACTCCCATGTCGTTGACTGCGGTTCAAGTCTTGGACCCGGTGGCTTAAACTCAAGCTGGGTGCGTGTGTGTGTGTGTGTGTGTGTGTGTGTGTGTGTGCTCAAGATTCCGAGAGGAGAATGAAGGAGAATGGGTTGCAGCGTGGCCACCCCCCCAGGGGATGATTTCTCGTTTTCTGTTTCTCTGTCTTTATGGCGAGTGCATGCGCCCTGTAACAAAAACCTCTCCAAAAATAAAAAATAAAAACAACTCCCTCCCTCTGATTCTCTGAAAAAGGTCACAGAATAGCAAAAACCTAACCTGTGAAAGATCTTAAACTGTGTTTTGAAGTAGATCTCGGATTTTGAGATATTTTAAGTTTGGAAAACTATTTTTTTCTGGCAATGATAGAGGTAAGTATAGCATTCACACCCAAATCTTTATATTTTGCTTGGAATTGTTAAGCAAAGATGTGAAAATAGGAGCATTCTATAGGTACTGGAAGTGTCTGGGATAGTTAAACCTGCTTATTTTTATTGTTCTTTCAGGTTTGTCCCAAGATGAAGATTCATGCAGTGATTGTAGTTGTCATGATAAACCAGGTACTAGCTTACAAAGTTTTGTGCCTGTCGGAAAAGCTCTTTTCCCAGAAATTTTCCAAACAAGTCAACTTTTGTTCTATGAGCGATTCAAAGCCTATCAAGATTATATTTTAGGTGAGTAGCTTCTTTGCTTCTTTTGTCTTTTTAGTATACAAGTAGATTGTCTGGCTCAGATTGCCAGTCGTTGGTTCTGAGAAGGTGGATTTAAATGACTTTATTAACTTCTCTCTGCTTTATGCCTTCTTCATTCTTACTGTGTTTAATTTGTCGTAGCTGACTGCAAGGCCTCTGAGGTACGGGAATTCACAGCTGAGTTCCTGGAGAAGGTCCTTGAACCATCTGGATGGCGGGCAGTCTGGCACACTAATGTGTTTGAGGTGCTGGTTGAGGTAAATTTAATTCTGTTGTCAAGACATTTGTCTCTAGCTATAAGCACTTCAGACTGTTATAGTCAAAGTGCTTATTTTTAATTAAAGTTTATGAGCTGATTGAAAATAGCATGTTTTCCACATCTAATTGCCATGGTGTATGAAGTGTTCTGCAAGTCTGAAAGGCAACCGAGGAACTTGCAGGGAATTAAGGTAGTTTGAGGTTTCGTGTCCTTTGGCAAGGGGAAATAGATGATAAACTATGAAGTAGAGGAGGTATTGAGATCATTTAAAAAATAAGGAGTCCTAATTATGAAGTCAGTGAAGTTTCAATTAATTTTTTGCCTTCTTAGTTGTAGCCCATTAAGTAGCTCAAACCAAATAGGCATTAAAACTAGCCCTTTTTTTGCCTAACAAATTTGTAGATGTGCCGTTAATCTCTTGATAATGTGTCCTGTTGCAGAAAATAAACACAATCTTACTTTTCAACTGACTGGGTCTTTTACATTAAATTTGCATTCTAATTACACCTTCAAATTTTTCTCAGTGTTTGTTAACTGGACCACAGAAACTCTGTTAAACTGAAATGTTAAACCAGGGAGTGTGAATACAAGTCGTTGCTACAGAAAATGACATCACTACAGTGATGATGTACAAGGCAGTGGGTTGCAGCTATTGCTTGTGAAATTTTGGATTGTGCTAATATCTTTAGTCAATGTTCCGCCCTATTAATGTGATTATGATAGCCTCCCTCCCAACTCAATCAATTTTCTAAAAGCAGTCTTTTTTCTTTCTTTTTTTTTTTTTTTGCAGTTCTCACAATGTTGTGTTCCTTTTATCTCAGCCTCCCAGCTGGGACTATTATTGTATACCACCACAACCAGCTCTTTCATTTATTTATTTTTTAAAAACAATTATTTATTTTATTTTATTTATTATTATTTTTTCCGCTGCAGGGCACATGTGCCCACTGACTCTCTTTTAGACAAGTTTTGCTATGTTGCTCAGGCTGTCTGGGAGCTCCCTAATCTTGCCTCAGCATCCTGAGTTGCTATAGGCACATACCACCATGCCCAGCATTTGGTTTGGACTAGGAATTGAACTATGGCTTCTCATGTGGTCTCAGCCTGCGGAACACAGCACGTGAGCAGCACATGCCATTGCACCTGGGCCCTCAAAGTCATTGTTTCAAAAGAGAAGCATGCCGTTTCTCTGTTTACAGCCTCTAGTGTGTTGTTGCATTTACCGAGGGCCTAGTGTTGGCTTATGCTTCTCAGTGGGATGGAGAACATGTAGAATCCACGCTCCTTCTGCTGCCCTTTGTGTCGTGGCTTCCTTGCCTCTCCCTTCTACCTCATCTCGCATATCTCCTCACCTCTCCCCCACTCCTTTGGTTCTAGGAAGAAGCAGTGCCTGTCTGTTCTTCCGGCTGCCAAGCTTATCTCAGTCACAGGAATGTTGGCAGGTTCCTGCTCCTCTGATGGTTGCTTCCTTTTCCTCCTTCTCAGCTCAGCTCTGAGAGACATCCCTTGGCTATTGCAGCAAGATCAGATTCCTACTCCCTGCTGGTTATTCTCTGCCACATGCTCATCACCAATTACTTTTCTCCCTTATTACAGTGTAAACTTGAGGAGTTTATATGTGGAGGAAGGCCTACCCCTTTTCATGCTTAAAAACAAAAATGAGCTGTGGCCAGCATTGCTGCAGAGGTAAAACATGACACTGCAAGGCTGACCCACATGGGAAGGTTCTGCGTTTGTGGATCTTGGTGTCAAGAGCCTGCTGGGGGAACCAGCAGTTAGCGTAATGGCTATGTCGCTGGACTCCCACGTAGTCGACCGCAGTTCATGTCCCGGACCCGGTGGCTTAAAACTCACGCCGGGCGCGTGTGTGTGCGTGCCCAAGGTCCCGAGAGGAGAATGGAGGAGAAGGGATTGTGGCGTGACCATCCCCCCTGGGGGGTGATTTCTCGCTTTCTGTCTCTATGTCTCTCTCTGTCTGTCTGGCGAGCGCACGCGCCCTACAGTGAAAATCTCTCTGGAAAAAAAAAGAGCCTGCTGGAAGCTATCTCTGTCTGTCTCTCATTTATGGAATAAATTAAAAAAAAAAAAAAGGCTGTCAATACTGTTTTATATGTGTGTCTTAAGTCAAATCATCTTATCTTAAATTTTAGGTCACGGACGTGGATTTTTCAGCCTTGAAGGCAGTGGTGAGGCTTGCTGAACCATATGTCTGTGAATCTCAAGTGAGCACTTTTACCTTGGAGTGTGTGAAAGAGCTCCTTGACCTGAAAGAGCATCGGTTGCCCCTGCAAGAGCTGTGGGTGGTGTTTGATGATTCTGGAGTGTTTGACCAGACAGCACTTGCAGTTGAGCATGTCAGGTAGGAAGAGAAGTTGATAAAAATAACTTGTGACCTGAAACTTTGGATAAAGTGAAGTAATTCTGGTCTGTGTTAGATCCAGATTTAAAACTTAGGCTGTAAATGTGCTCATTGCTACATTTAAAAATGTGGAAAGATAGTACACTTTCCATTTTCTTTGTTTTTAGACAGGGCCTTGCTGTGTTGCATTCCTCCTGCTTTGGCCTCCTTGCTGGCTTCTGAGCAGGTGCATGCCATCATGCCCAGCTTCTTTTAGGTATGGCTGGCTCAGGCCAGCCTTGAGCCTGTGATCTTTCTACCTCAGACTCCCTGAATTGCTGGAATTACAGGCGGGTGCTACTGTGCCTGGCCTTTAGGTTGGACTGGAAATTGAACTTGGGCCTCCCATGTGGTCACAGTATCTTAGTAGTGCATGCCAATATGGCTGGGCTTAATCTTTTTTAAAATAACAAAAACAAATTTTAAATGTTTTAAATGTTCATTTTATGGTAATTTCAAACTTAGAAAAAAGTTGAAAAACAATTGTACCGAGAGTTCCTGTTTATCTTTCACTCAGTTTTCCCAAATGTTAACAGAAGCTAGAGAGCAGTTTTTCTTTTTTGAGAGATTTTAGCCACAGGGCATGTGCACTTGCCAGAGAAAATTTTTCACAGAAAGCGAAAAATCACCCCCTTGGGAGGATGGCCAAGCTGCAATCCCTTTTCCTCCATTCGCCTCTTGGGATTTTGGGCACACACGCTTGGTGTGAGTTTCAAGCCATTAAGTTCAGAACTCAGGCTGCAGTTGGCAACGTGGGAATCCAGTGCCTTAACCACTATGTCATCTGCTGGTCCTGAAAGTGGTTTCTCAATTTGACTTGAATATACTTAGAAACTGCCTTTGAGTTGTGGTTGCTAAGGCTCGTAGTTGGTATATTTGAAAATAAGCAGACAAAAGGAAAGAGGAAAGAAAAAGTGAAGAAGTTGTATATTGTCATCTGTGCACCGATAAGACTAACACGCTTTGTTTTCAAGGATGTGTCTGGTCAAAGAGGCGTTTTTGCTCAGGCTCTGTCCATGACCCTTAGGGGATGTGTTCATGTCTTTCATCCTTTTTTGGTGTATTGAATAGTGGTCAGTGTATTGATTTCCACTTGTACAAGTATATCCCTTATCCCCTAAGTGGGAAAGAAAGCTGCTGCCCTACCTGGATTAATAGTTCTGCTTTGTAAAATTCTTTGATAAATCTTTTATCAGAGAGTTCTTGATAAAGAGAGTTCTTTTGTATCTTCTGTATATAAGAATATTCACTAAAGAAGTCTTATTTTTAGATATTTAGAAATGGATTTGTATTTCTTCAGGTACTAGAAGAATAATGTGATGACCATAGTATTAATAATGTTGCTTTGCATTTTGTAATGTAAAAAGTAGCTTTTAGCTTCTGTACCTTTAGTGAGTTAACCTGGTTTTGCTGAGCTTAATAAGAATACAAAGAAGCAGAATGTTGGGCTGGTCTTGTTTCCTAGTGGTTATGGGTGTTGGATTCCACAGGACTGATCACTATTCAAATCCTGGCCCTGGGGTTTGAAAAACATGCTGGGCAGGTGTGTCAGATATGTGTGCATGCATGCCCAAAATCCCAACAGGATGGGAACATGGAGGAGAGGGGTGTGTGGTGTAACCATGCCCCATTTGGAGTTGCTTTCTCCCTCTTTATCTTTCTATGGTGAGTACATGTGCTCTCTGACAATTAAAAAAAAAAAAAGAAAGAAAGAAAAGGAAAAGTTGAGGTCTCCTGACATGGAAAATTTATAATTATATGAAAGGATGTTTAACACCAGATGTTCAGTATTAGGTTGAACAATACATATAAATCTAAAGAACTGCTTTCTGTCCAGAACCAAGAAAAGCCCCGTATGTTTTTCTCATTTGAAGGTGAAGAGATAACTGATGAGTTCAGGAAATTAGGAATCAGGGAGCTAACCTCTCCTAATGGGCAGGAAGACAAATGTCGAGAATTAGTAATGTTATTTGAAGAGGAGCCTGGCTAAATTTACTCTTCATTTGGTGGGCTAGATTCTTGTCGGTGCCCAGAGAAGGTCAAATTATGAGGATTTCTATTTGTTTATTGGGTCAATAAATATTTGAGTCCTGGCTCCTTAGTGGAGGATGAGGTATGACTGATGCACAAAACAGACACAATCCCTGTCATCAGGGAGCTGTCAGTCTAAAGGTGGGAGATGAACCTTGATGAAATACAAGGTATATTTGTGATTGGAAATGCCAATGAGTGCTCTGAAAAATTAGAAAGTGTTCTAAGGTGAGGTCGGGTTGCTATTCATTTTTAAAGAATTTTTAAAGAATTAATTAATTAATTTAAATTTTTTTTGGAGAGGTTTTTGCTATAGGGTGTGTGCGCTCACCAGACAGACAGAGACAGAAAGCGAGAAATCCCCCCCCGGGGGGTGGCCACGCTGCAATCCCTTCTCCATTCTCCTCTTGGGATCTTGGGCACGCAAACACACACACGCCCAGTGTGAGTTTAAGCCACTGGATCCGGGACTTGAACTGTGGTCGACTACGTGGGAGTCCAGCGACATAACCATTACGCTAACTGCTGGACCCCCAAGAATTAATTAATCAATTTTTGAGAGAGATATTTTTGCTATAGCATGCATGTACTTGCCTGAGAGATAGAGAGACAGATAGAAAGTGAGAAATCACCCCTCCGGGGTGGTGGCCATGCCACAATCCCTTCTTCTCCATTCTTTTCTTGGGATTTTGGGCATACACACACATGCGTCTGGCTTGAGTTTTAAGCCACTGGGTCTGGAACTCAAATGGCAGTTGACCATGCTGGAGTCTAGCGCCTTAACCATTATGCCTCCTACTTTCCTCTGTTTTTAGATTTGATGAGAGAGAGAGGGAGAGAGAGAAAGAAAGGGAAAGTGAGAAAGCAAGCCACGAGGTTGAGACTTGAACCATGGTCTACCATGTGGGAGTCCAGTGCCTTCACCACCATGCCACCTGACAACCTCCAGGTTTCTGTTCTGTGGTTATTTACCAAAGAAGTGACATTTGGACTTGAATCTGAAGGACTAGCTAGGCGCAAGGGGTTGTGGCAGAAATGGAGAAGGCAACGAGTTCAGTAGCTCAGTGAGATTAAGGAGGTAAAAGACCAGTGTGGCCAGAACACAGACAGGACTGGGAGGAACCTAGGAAACCAGGTTAGAGAGTCGGGAGGGATCAGAAGGTGATCGCTTTGTCAGCCAGTTAGTTAATCATTTTTGTCTTGAAGAACAGTGGGGGGACCAGCAGTTAGCGTAATGGCTATGTCACTGGATTCCCCATGTAGTTGACCGCGGTTCGTTTCCCAGACCTGGTGCCTTAAAACTCACGCCGGGCGCGTACGCGTGCGTGCCCAAGATCCCGAGAGGAGAATGGAGGAGAAGGGATTGCGGTGTGGCCATCCCCCCGGGGGGTGATTTCTCACTTTCTGTGTCTCTGTCTCTCTCTGTCTGTCTGGCGAGCGCATGTGCGCTATAGCAAAAACCTCTCCAAAAAAAAGAACAGTGGGAAACTTTGAAAGATTTTCATTAGTGGGTGAATATGGTCATCTTTGTGTGTGTGTGTGTGTGTGTCTTAAAGATTCATTATGGCTGCTGTGTGGAAGCAAATGGAGGGCAACAGAATAGGGAAGCTAGTGAAGAGGCAAGAGCGAAGACTCAGTGGGGATAGGGAGAGACAGGGAGGCTCACTGACAAAGTAGAACGACTAGGGCTTGGTGATCAAGTGGATGTGGAGAAGGAGGAGAGATGAGTAGATATGGGAAAGTCAAGGCCAGCTCCCGGGTTTATGGCACGAAGAGTAAATCCAGGAGGAGGTGCAGATGAATGGTGAATGGTGTGTAACTGTCTGGGATGGTACTGGTAAGGATACCTGAACTGAGTCAGGAAATGTAAATTAAACCTACCTAAAATTCCTGGCAGCCTGACAGCATGTTACACAGAGGTTTGAAAGAGTTTGTGATATTGGGAGTTTACATGCAAGGGCTTAGACAGGAATGGTGCTTTAGAGTCAGATTATGAACCTGGATAGTATTGCCCAGCTCATGACTTCCTTCTGAGGGCAACAGAGAGCCAGGAGGGGTTTCATATTGAGTAGAATCATGCTCTGGTTCTTTTTTTTTTTTTCCCCTTAATTTTTTTTTGAAGAGAGACTCCTCAGGGGAAGAGACTGGTAGCCCAGTCTATAAGAAGTAAGAAATGGCTTTATTTTCAGCACTGCTTCCTTTCACAGTAGAATTTCTTGAAAAAAAAAAAAATATATATAGTAACGATCTGTACTTCTGGGCATCCAGGTAACACTTCTTTTTCTACCCTTATTTCATCACTGAAATTGTGCTCAAGGTCACCAGAGACTTCTTTCTATGTCCTTGTATCCAGGTGGCTTTTTTTTTGATATTTTCCTGTTTACCTATTGGCCACATTCTCGATATTTGATTCTTCTTCCTCTTTTTTTTTTTTTTTTAATTGCCAGAGGGCACATGTACTTCTAGAGGGAGAGAGGGAGAAATAGCAAGGGAGAGAGAAAGGCCAGAAGGAATGAGAAAACACCTTCCCATAGGGTGTGGTCATGCCATAGCCTTTTTTCCTCCACTTCTACACTCTGTCAGGATTTTGGGCACACATGCACATGTGCTGGTGTATTTTTCAAACCACCAGAGTTGGGGTTGGAGTCATGGTTGATCATGTGGGCTCCGGTTTCCTATGCACAGTGTTTAACTGCTGTGCTATGGGACTTACCCTATTTCTATCTTTTTTTTTTTTTTTTTGGTAGGACACATGTGCTCACTGGGGAGAGAGAAAGAGGGATAAAGTGAAAAAGTACCCCATGGGGGTCATGGTTACACTGAAATCCCTTCTCCTTCACCCTTCTCTCAAGATTTTAGGTACTCATGCTCATGTGCCTCGCTTATTTTTCAAGACACTAGGTGGGGACCTCAAAATGCACAGTTGGCCATATGGGATCCAGCTACTTAACCACCATACCACCTGGCTGACCTATTTCCATCTTCTTAACACACACTCTTCTCAGTTTCTGAAGTACCACTGTTCATTTGGCATTTTACTGGCTTGTTTTCTTAGTCATCTTGAGAGCCCAGCTCTTGGGCTAACCAGTGCTGTAATTGGTAAAGCAGCTGGATCCCACGTGACCGACAGCACAGTTTGAACCCTAGAGCCAGAGGCTTGAAAAACACATAGTGTATGTGTGCGGGCATGCCCTAAATTCTGAAAGGAGAATGGAGGAAAAGGAATTGAGGAGTGGCCATCCCCTCAGGGGAGGGGGGGGTGCTTTTTCACTTTCCTTGTCTCTCTCTAACAAACATGTGCCCCATTTACGAAGTTAAAAAAGTAAAAGAAAAAGATAAATAAGAGACCAGTTCTTTTATGCTCAACCTTTAGAATGTTGGAATTGCCCAGGGATCAGTCCTAGGCCATCTGCTTTTTTCTCTGATTAATATTGGAAGCACATTAGAATCATCTGGAGATTTTCTTTCTTTTTTTAAATTGCCAGTGGGCATTTGTACACCCTACTGAAAAAGAGAGAGAAAGAAAAAGGACTTCCTAATGGGGGAATCATCATGCTGCAACCCTCTTTTTTCTGTTTCTTCATCCCATTATGATTTGTGGTACATGCACAGGCTTGTTTTTCAAGCTACCAGGGCCAGGATTTGAACTGTGGCTGGCCATGTGCAGTCTGACTCAGTTAACCTCTATGCTATGGTGCTGGCCCTGGGGATTTTTTTTAAGGTTTTGGTATAGGGTATGTGTGCATGCTGAAGAGAGACAGAAAGAGAGAGAGTGAGACATCACCCCCTGGGAAGGATGGCCATGCCATGATCCTTTCTCCTTTATTCTTCTTTTGGGATTTTGGGCTCGCATGGATGCTCACACACTTGGTTTGTTTTCTAAACCACCAGGTCTCAGACTTGATTGTACAGGGCTTTGTGAGAGTGAGAGATGTTAACCACCATGCTAATGGCTGGCCAGGAATTTTTTTTTAATATATGAAGAAAGAATGATTGCATGAGATAAAGTATCAGTACTTAGTAACTAGCATTTTGAAATAAAGGTTCTAGGCAGTGATTATTGATGACTGCTACAGCCATTAGGTGAAAAACTGATAAGGAACTTTGTATTGGGTGGATCATGCTGACAACACCTGATTCAGTTTCAACATCAGGAAAAGAGACAAGGCATTGTGTGTTTCCTCTTGGAAATACAGTATATCTTTGAAGTGTTCTTGCCCCCCAAAATAAAAAAAATAAATAAATAACACTTTCCTGAAGCCAACTTGGTCTCTAGATCTTACCATGAATTTACTAGATATAAAGGAAACAAGGTCATGTTAAAAGACCTCTTGGAGATGTAATCAATAAAATCCAGAGAGTGGGAAATTATTACCTAAATTGCAGGGAAAAAGGGGGTAACTGGATCAATGAGAATGACTTAAGAGACATTGTCTTTTTTTTTTTTTTGGAGAGATTTTTTACTATAGGGCGCGTGCGCTCGCCAGAGAGAGACATAGAGACAGAAAGTGAGAAATCACTGCAGGATGGGCACACCGCAATGCTTTCTCCTCCATTCTCCTCTTGGGATCTTGGGCACGCACGCACACACGCCCGGCGTGAGTTTTAAGCCACCGGGTCTGGGACGCGAACCGTGGGCGACTACGTGGGAGTCCAGCGACATAGCCATTATGCTAACTGCTGGTTCCCGAGAGACACTATCTTTAAATACAATAGCTTATTCTTGTCTGGTTCCTGATTTGAACAGGTCAGCTGTAGAACAACAGCAAAACAGACAATTAGGGAAATTCAAACACTGGCTATTTGGCTATATTAAGGAATTAAAATTTTTTGATACAAAGATTTAATTTAGAGATACATAATAAAAATTTATGAATGATATATATAAAATTCGCTTCAAAATAACTCAGCATTAGGATAGTTGAGAGAAAGATAAACAGAAGAGTAAGTGGTTGGGGTAGAGATGAAATAAGATTGTTGAAGTTGGGTGATAGATACATGGTGTTTGTGATACTATTTTCTCTGGTCTTGTATATGCTTGAAATTTTCTGAAATGAAAAAATTTCTTAAGGCAAATGCCTGAGGATCTTTTAAAAAGTGTGGATGCTAAACCTCCCCCAAATATTCTGATTTATTGGTCTGGGATAAGGAATCAATTTATAAAAGTGTCCCAGGGGACTCTAATGTGCAGCCAGGGTTAAGAACTGCTGCTTTATATTATGTCCCCAGATGATCTCATCTATTGCTTTAATACCATCAATATGCTGACAACCTCCAGATTTATATCTCTAAGCCCTGACCTTTTCCTTGAGCTCTGGGCCTGTATATTCATCAGCATACTTGACATCATCCACTTGGAGGTCAAATAGGCATTTCAACCTGAACATGGTGAAAACAGAACTCTTTATTTGCAGTCCCAAAGCTGTTTTTCTCCCAGTCTTTTCTAATACATGGTACTACCACCCACCCAATTCCTGATGGTCAATAGTTCTGATAAAAGGAAAGTTAATGAAACTGGTCTTGTGGAAACACTTAACTAATTCAAAGAAGGTCTTCTCCTTGTGTGACTCATGACTACTAACTATAGCAAATTTTATATCCTCATATATGAGAATGTTGTATATATACTGTAGTTGGTAGAATTGTTTTGATTTATTCTTTAACTCTTACCCCTCCAAAACCTAAACTTTCTGAGCCAGTGATTGAATTTGAATAATGCTAAGTTTTTTTTTGTTTGTTTGTTTGTTTGTTTTAGGTTTTTCTACCAAAACATTTGGAGGAGTTGGGATGAAGAAGAGGAGGATGAATATGATTATTTTGTCAGATGCGTTGAACCACGATTGAGATTGTAAGTATTTATTACTCACCTTGCACACTTAAGAAAAATATTATCCATGGTTTAATTTTGCCTGTGTGTCATATATGTGTATGCATGTACACATACACACAGGGGCTCATTGAAACAGATCCCTGTACAAATAGTATAACTTCTAAATACATTATTAGATGAAACTTTATAAATGCACATAAGCTGCTTTTAGTGTTCATAAACGAAGTCTAAGAGCAGGGAGTTCTAGAACATCTAAGATAGTAGCTTGTTGTTATGAATCGGAATAAAATTCACTTGAGCTAGTGTGTTAAAAAGTTTGTTGGGCCTGTTCTGTGATAGTGGTCAAAGCAGCTATATCCTACATGGCTGATCACACAATTTGAGTCCCAGACCTGGTAACTGAAAATAAGCCAGGTGCATGTGTCTGTATTTCCAAAATCCCAAAAGGAGGGAGACATGGGAGAGAAGGAACTGGGGCATTACAATTCCCCATGGGAAATGCTTTTTCCTCACCCTCTCTCTTTGTCTCTAGGTCTCTTTCTGGCAAGTGCATACACCATCTAGTCAAAAAGTAAAAATAAAAAAAAAGAATCTTTTTGTTAACTTCAAAGACAACTGTTTGAAAAACAATGGAGTGATTTGAATTACAGGTTATTTTGCTTTAATTTTTTGAGAGAGTACTTTTAAAAGTATTTTCTTAAAGTTCCTATAGTAAAACACATTAGGCTAAACGATTACACTTACCTCAGGAGATCTGTCAAGCTCTTGCCTTAAATAATAAAAATACTAAATGGGGGGACCAGTAAATGGTGTGATGGTTATGGTGGTTACCTCACTGGACTCGCACAGAGTCAACCTTGGTTCCTCTGGCTTGAGCCTCATGCCGGGCGCATGTGCATGCCATGCCTAAGATCCTGAGAGGAGAGTAGAGGAGAAGGAATTGTGGCGTGGCCATTCCCCTTGGGGATGATTTCTCACTTTCTGTCCCTCTATCTCTCTCTGTCTCTCCAGCGAGCACATATACCCTATAGCAAAAAACCTCTCTAAGAAAATACTAAATAGTATTTTTTGATACTATTGATGGTAAGTAAAAATATCCAAAACACCTAGACACATTTGTTTTTTTTTTAGGAGAGGTTTTTGCTGTAGGACATGTGTGCTTGCCAGAAAGACAGAGACAGACAGAAAGCAAGAAATCACCCCCCAGGAGGGATGGCTACGCTGCAATCCCTTCTCCTCCATTCTCCTCTCTGGATCTTGGGCATGCACGCACATACACCCATTGTAAATTTAAGCCACCAGGTCCAGGACTCGAACCGTAGTTGACTACATGGGAGTCCAGCGACATAACCATTATGGCAACTGCTGGTCCCAACACCTAGACATATTTGTATACTTCATCATATTTTGGCAGGGAAACCCTTCCAAACAAAACTATCAAAATTAGTGATGCAATCCAAATATTTTTTCTATACTGATCTTATTAAATGTGGCATTAATTTTTTCCACTAGATGGTGCCCTAAGACCACTTTTTTTTGTGTGTTCATGAAAAATTATTTAGTAGGCAGTGCTGCAATAAAAATAAAATTAGAACTTATACTCCAAAAAATATCACAGAAGGAAATTTTTTTCCCCCCTGTATGAAAGATGCTTTGATTTAAGGCAATAAGCCCTTACATTTCTGTGGAATCCAATTTGTTTTAGTAAGTCAGTTTAGTTAAGTTTCTCTTAGTATAATAGTAAATAATAATAAAATATAAAAATATGTGAAAGTCTGGTTAATGGTTCCACCTGACTTAAAATTATATACATCTAATTTCAGCTTTTCACAAATTGCCTATGATTTCTATTTAGCTTTTCTGGTGTTTTCATTGTTTCCTATTTTCCTGTAATGTTTTCAACAAAATGCCTGCATTTCAGTAAGCCTGAATATTTTCTAGCTTTGGTACAGTTGGGTTTTGATTACAGTGAAATGTAATGGTAGGTGAATATTATGTATATCGGGCAAATTTGATGTTCACTTAGAAAAAAATTGCATTCTGATTTAATAGCCTTGCATGTGCTAGCAATAGGAAATGATTTACATACACACCCTGTAACATCATGGCAGGTGGGAAAACATAAGGGAGGAATTGTTTTTAGTTACAGAGAAGAGACTATGGTACTTAATGGAGAAACTGGAATGTTATCAAATGTAAGCAGCTTTTTAAAAAGGTCTCTGGACTAAGATAGGTGAGAGCTATCAATAGGCAAGATTTAAAAGGAATCAAACCATACTGGTTTGATCTTGCACTGAAGGTAAATGTTTTGCCTTTCTCTTCAAAGCATACTGCTTCAAAACCACAAAGGGTCTGGGACATAGATGCTGGTTCATTGCTTTTAGATTATGAAATACGAGTATAATGAGAAGAAATAAGCTGATAGAGTAGATATTGGAAATGCTGAGAAACGTATTTCAAAATGCAATCTTTTAATAATAAAATTGTCATTATCTTAAATTGACAAGTAATTGTACATGTTTTGGGGCATAGTGTGATAATTTGATATGTGTCTATAATACATAATAATCAAATTAGGTGAATTTAAATTTGAGTCTTAACTTCCCAACTTAATAGACCAAATGAAGCAGCCAGTGGTTTGGTCCCCAATTTCTTGTTTGCAAAGTAGATGTCAGGAATATCTTTAAATGAGTATGCATTAACCAAAGTGGGCAAAACCCTTGTTTTTCAAGCTTCGCCTAATTAATTTACTTGAAAAGTAGAAAACAAATTATTTTTTAATTCATTTTAAATACTATTGAGTTTTCACCATAATTTGATGTACATTTATTCAAGATGTGGTTCTGTTTTTTTCCCCGTCTTATTCAGAGCATGACTAAGTTAAGAAAAATGCATCATCTAAGGCAGTAATTCTCAACACTGGCTACACATTAGCATCCTTAGGGAATTAAAAAAATAATAATGCCAAAAATTCCTCTCTACTTCCAGACACATATTTAATTGATCCAGATAGGGGCCAGCGTTATCTGTATTTTAAAAATTTATTTATTTATTTTAGAGGATTTTGACTTAGGGTATGTGCGCTTACAGGGCAGGGGGGTGGGGTGGGTGGAATGGGGGACAGACAGACAGTGACAGTGAGAGGGAACATGAGAAATCATCCCCCAGCGGTGGGGTGGCCATGCTGCAGTCCCTTCTCCATTCTCCTCCCAGGATCTTGGGGACACACACACACACATGCTCCTGGTATGATTTTCAAGCCGATCTTGGGGACACACACACACACATGCTCCGGTTAGTATTTACAAGCCACTGGATATGGGACTTGAACTATGGTCAGCCATGTGGGAGTCTGGTAATGTAACTGCTATGCCATCTGCTGCATCCCCCCCACCTGTATTTTCAAAAGCTCTCCAAGTGACTCTAATATCCAGCCAGGGTTAAGAAGCTTTGGTTTAAGGCATGTAGTCAATAGTCTCTTTTCTTTCTTTCTTTCTTCCTTCCTTTTTTTTTTTTTTTTTTTTTTTTATTTCCCTGTAGCGCTTTTGGATGTTTTTTTTTGTAATTTCGCTGTAGAGCTTGTGCATGAGAGAGAGAAAGAAAGCACCCCCTGGGGTCGAAGGCCACACCACAGTCCCTTCTCCTCACTTCTCTTGGGATTTTGTGCATGCATACACACATGCCTAGTTATGTTTTTCAAGGTGCTAGGTCTGGGACTCAAACCATGCAGTCGGCCTTGTAGAATCCGGCATCTTAACCACCATGCCACTGGCTGGCCTGCTAGCCAGTATATTTATAAATGAAGAAATAAAGCGATCGTTTTAAAACTATAGGTAATGAAAATAATATTATACTTTATTTTTAAAATCCATTAACTTTATATCCATTAACTTGATTGTATATTCATAAATTATTTTATTGTACCTAGAAATACTTTTTGTTCTGCTTATATATTTGAGAAATTATCTAAATAAATAAACTTTAAGTGCCAGTAATGTGATCTAGTACAAGGTTATTTGGTTGTAATCACTGTCTAATTTAGTAGTGACAACTTTACTTTTTCTCAGAATCTCAAAGCCTTATGTTTTTGAGATTCTTCAATAATCTTCCCGAGGGAGTATTAAGTGTTATTTTGTGCCATAATGCTTTAAATGTAAGAAAAGGCTAGATGATTTGAGTTATCTCTAGTTTTTCAGCTTATACATATGATAATCTTAAATGTCATTGAGAAACAGTTTGAGAGACTTCCTTCCCTATCCCCACTCACAGATTGCCTCCTGTCGTATCACTAAAATTTTTAATTTAATACATGAGGAGAAAATACTTTCTTATTAAATAATAATCACAAATTGTGCAACATAAGCTTTCAGTGTTTCTAAAGCACAAATGCTTGGACCTAATAAAAAGATAACCAACTCTTCAAAAGGAGAAAAATTAGTGAATGAAGGGGTACTTCAATAGCTTCTGCTTATAATCGAGTGCTATTCAGAAAGACTTAACATGTGCCTGAATTATAAACCATAAAACACTTTTCTTACTGGGTCTTTGAGGACTAAGTGGGCTGTCTCAGTGGTAGGAAAATGTGCCTGAAATGCAATAGATTTCAATTTGCTTTTAAACTTTTAGGCATTATGACATTCTTGAAGACCGAGTTCCTTCAGGACTTATCGTTGACTACCATAGTCTCTTGTCTCAATGTGAGGAGAGTTACAGAAAGTTTTTAAATCTGAGGAGCAGTTTGTCAAATTGTAGCTCTGACTCAGAGCAGGAAAATATCTCCATGGTGGAAGGGTTAAAATTGTATTCGGAGATTGAACAGTTGAAACAAAAACTGAAACTCATTGAGAATCCTTTGTTGAGGTATGTGCGTCTTTGTTATTATTAGCCAGTTAGCATTTTTTCTTTCTAGCCGTTTTACTGAGGTCTGATAGGTTTATTCGTTTTTTTAAAAGATATGTGTTTGGTTATCAGAAGAATTCTAATATCCAAGCAAAGGGTATCCGTCCAAATGGTCAGAAGGTTACCCATGTGGTCTCCTCCATCATGATGACTGGTCTACTGCAGTCCCTGCTCAGAGACAGGCTTTGCCAGGAGCCTTGCAAGGAAGAAACAGAAATTCAGGTAAAGGGAGAGTTTCTTGCTCCAGTTAATTTTTAAATTTCTGATTCTCCTAGGTTTTCATGAATTCTAGAAAGTGTTTATAGGAGCTTCCCAGACTAGTTTTCTGTGAAATGGGAAGTAGTGAAAGCATTGGTTTTTGTCAGCAATAGCCACTTACCAAGTGTGCACTGTAATCTGGAACTATCAAAGGAGATCCTTCATAGACAGTTTCGGCTCCATCCTCAAAGTGAGACATGAAGTCACCTGGAAGTAATACTCCAGTTGCTTTTGGTGAATATTTGCAATTATTGTTCTTTTCTAGTTCCATAGTGATCCGTTGTCTGCTATAAATGCCTGCTATGATGGTGACACTGTTATTGTTTGTCCTGGCCATTACATGATACATGGCACATTCGCCATTGCTGACTCCATTGAGTTGGAAGGTGAGTTATAGAAGATAAAACAAAGCCACACATGTGATATGTTTAAGCAAACAGTAAATCAGTGATTTTGTTGGAGCTCCAATGTGATTTCAACCTGTTTAATTTCAAATAAGTTACTTTGAAACATTAAAGGTATTTAAGGCTTACAGGGAGATTCACAGATTCACACAGTGTTTGAGCAACTTGAGTTGCAGTTCTTTGTTATATATATTGGGAATATGTTTATAGGCATATACAGAATAAAGACCAAATACTTTCCAGATTATAGATAGTTTATATAAAGGAAATCTAATTTCTAGAATAGAAAAAAAATCCTTGCAATATTTTTTTAAGTTATTTTTAATAATTTGTTGTTTGCTATTATCTTATATATGTTATGGATATATTGGTCTATGTTTGTCCATGTGTATGTGTTTTGTTAAATTAGATTTTTTAAGTTTTTTGCTATAGGGCACATGCACTCATCAGAGAGGCAGAGAAAGGACAAGTGAGAAATCACCTCTCTGTGGATGACCACGTTGCAATTCCTTCTTCTTTATTCTCTTCTTGGGATTTTGGGCATGCTCGCACACTCACGTAATGTGATTTTCAATTTGAATCTGGGATTCGAACCACACTTGGCCGTGTGGGATTCCAGCACCCCTACCACCATGCCACCTGCTGGTACTAATTACCTCGTTTTTATGAGGGTCATATTTAACTTGAAATTGGTATAAAAATTATCTTAATTCTTTAAAAGCTGCTGAAATCACAAATGCCACACTTTGTATCTTGACCAAAGTATACTTTTGAGAACATTAATGTTGAAAATTTTTATTAAAGTAACTTTTTAGCGGTTATAATCTTATTTTATTTAGAGTGATTCCTAAATTTAGGTTACTTTATAATTGTTCATCTTGGTGTATATTTCCATAACATGTCAAATTTAGATGCACCTGTTCAACTATTTACCAAAACAGCTTCAAGTTAGCAATAAAGCTTGTAATGCAAAAAATCATATATCATTTTGGGACTTGTGCAGCTGTTCACAAACTGCTTAAGCTATGTTCTTTATCTTTATCTTGTCAAAACTTCTTAATGGAAGCAAGGCTGGGAGTTTAATTTCCTGCTGTTCACTAGTACATCATTTTACCCCCTTTTTTGTTTTATGTGTGTAATTTTTGTTCTTTCTTCTCTCCAATATTTGATTTATAATAGATGTGTGTGTATAAATAACACATCTGCAGCATAAATCACTGCAATAAAAACACTTTATTTTTTGGCATAGTGAAAATAACATTGATATTATAGATTGTATGGTGGATAAGAGTTCTTCCTAGATTGGTGAGGAAATTATAATGTAATTGCCAAAGTGTCATAAATAACCATATAGAATTCTGATAGATAAGTGTAAAAATGACTGTAAATTTGCTAACAGTGGGCATTTCTAAAAATTGAGAGATCAGATGGTATCTCTAGTGTGAATATATGGAGTACTTGTTCATGAGTAAGATTAAAGCTTATCTGATAGTGATGTGTAGCTGACATATGTATCGAGTACCTACTATGTAAAGGGTATTAGCATTACTTACAGTTGGTTTTTCTTTCTCATTTAGAAAAACTACTTTAGGTGATGGTTTTCTGTTTAAATGAAGAATACACAATTTGTGTAATAATTTCAGTTTCTTTTTTTCTAAATATGCAATTCTTTTTTATTTTTTACCTTTTTGATGATAAGAACAATGGTTATTATGGAAAATAGCCTGTTTATTACAGTTGCTGCTTTCATTTATTTAAATAAAGAGTATCTTTAGACAATGTGAATTATGTTGTATAGCTTCATCTATGTGGTTCTGTTTTATAAAGATACAAGACAGGCAGATTCTTTAGTTTTCTGATACTCTTAATTTTTTGTAAGCCCATTCAGAGGTTTAGTCTACATTATTGATTTGATTATGATTTATAGAGATCTGATTTTATTTTTTTTGAAAGGTTTTTACTATAGAGTACATGTGCTCACCAGAGACAGAAAGCAAGAAATCACCCCCACAGGGGGAATGACCATGCTGCAATTCCTTTTCCATCCTTGGGATGTTGGGCACACATGTCCAGCATGACTTTCAAGCTGCCGGGTCCAGGACTCAAATTGCAGTTGATTATGTGGGAGTTCAGTGCCTTAGCCACTATGCTGCCTACTGACCCCAAGATCTGATTTCTTTAATTGGCTAACAAGTAGACTTTCTCAGTAGAAAGTTAACAACTTTTTGTTGTTGTTGTTTTTGAGAGATATTTTTGCTATAGGGCGCATGTACTTGCTGGAGAGACAGAGACATAGAGACAGAAAGTGAGAAATCACTCCCTGAGGGGATGGCCACACAGCAATCCCTTTTTCTCCATTCTCCTCTTGGGATCTTGGCCATGCACATGCCTGGCATGAGGTTTAAGTCACCAGGTCCAGGATTTGAACTGCAGTCGACTATGTGGGAGTTCAGTGATATAATTATTATCCCATCTGCTGGTCCCACTAAAATGACTTTAAGTCAATTTGTCACATTCATCAATCTGTTTAAGAAAATATTAAAATTAAATAGTCTTGAGAAACGCTTAGGTTTATTATAATGTAATTTATATGATGATAATAATAGACTCTTAGAGTTGGAAACAAATTTAGAGGGCCAGCTGGTGGTGTGGTGCTTAAGGCAGCTGGATCCCACATGGCTGATTGTGCAGTTAAAGTCTTGGACCTGGCGACTTGCAAAGCATCCTGGGCACATGTACATGTGTGCCCAAAATCGCAAGAAGAGAGTGGAGGAGAAGGGATTGTGGAATTGTGGTGTGGCCATTCCCTATGGGGCTGATTTTTCACTTTCCCTTTCTCTCCAGAGGGATGATAATTGCCATGGCAAAAAAGAAAAGAAAAAAAAGAGAGAGAGAGAAATAAACCTAGAAGTTCTAAATGCCTTAAAGCTCTTTGATTCAGCTGTGAGTCCTTGGGATTATTTATTTACTTTTATAGCAATTTTGCAGGTGAATTTAGTGCTTAGTTGGTCCAGGATGGTGGATAGGGTAGTCTTCCTGATATGGGGATATGTTAGGGAGTTGTTCATGTTAAAAATTTGATACCATGGTTTAAATTATAATTAAAATAAAATATGTAGAGAGATAACTAGATTTTATTTAAATGCACCTGGGTTGACTAGTCTCAAGTTATCGTTCAGAGTCATTTCAACTAGAGAAACCTGTTTTAGCATTTTTGTGTTTATACATTTTCATTCACTCATCTTAATGTTTTTGCTCTCTTCCTTAGGATATGGTCTACCAGATGATATTGTTATAGAAAAGAGAGGCAAAGGAGACACTTTTGTGGATTGTACAGGTGCAGATATTAAAATCTCAAGCATAAAATTCGTGCAGCATGATGCTGTAGAAGGAATCTTAAGTAAGTATCTGAATGTTTGGTGTATTAACTGTCCGAGACTTTGAAAGAGAACCTTACTTTCTGGGACCAGCAGTTAGCGTAATGGCTATGTCCCTGGACTCTCATGTAGTCAACCACGATTCGCGTCCCAGACCCGGTGGCTTAAAACTCACGCCGGGCGCATGTACGTGCGTGCCCAGGATTCCGAGAGGAGAATGGAAGAGAAGGAATTGCAGTGTGGCCATCCCCCCAGGGGGTGATTTCTTCCTTTCTGTCTCTCTGTCTCTGTCTGTCTGGCGAGCACATGCGCCCTGTAGCAAAAACCTCTCTAAAAAAAAAGAGAACCTTACTTTCTATGGAAGGTAGAATTTAATGAAATACCACTCTTGCGTTTATAAGAGGCTGATGAATTTTTTGTTCATGTACAAAGTGTGATAACTTTGGACTCTTATCCCAAAGAGAAAAATAGTTGAACTTGTTTTGAAAATTTGTTAGTTTAATAATTAATATTTCTTTTCCGTGTGATCATTTTTTTTCATTTAGCACATTTGTGTGTTATGGTTTGTTTTATAGTCTTTGTATTCAATTTAGCACTAAATTAAAACTAGGTATCTTCATATTGCTCTACTACTTGTGTCCTAGGATCTGTATCTTCTTTCTTGAATTAGGGTCCTTTTCTTTTCCCTTCTAACTAAGATACTGAGCAAATATGCTTTCTGATACTTTTTTTTTTTGGTAATGAGAAGTGCTTTT